GCACCCAACAGACCAGCTTTGAAGAACACCTACAAGAACATTTGGTATATATTAGTGGTGTAGTGTTGAAGAAGCCAATAAGTCATTTTCAGCGTAGATGTGGCCTGGGATACACTATATTGCCCTAATAATAATTGAGTTTGGCTGTTCCAGTAAAAATCTATTATGTTCTATACTATAGTATAGAGTGGCATTTGAGAGAATTCCGTCCTTCCTTTTTTTGATGTAACAGTTTGAGGAGGCATGACAGTGTCCAGTACACAAAGTGCGGTCCATATAGGAATTTTTTGTGTAATCTGGTGTGGAATAACTTGACTGCCACAAAGCCTAGACTTGAACGCCTATTCAAAAGCTTCAGGCCTTCCTTCCTCAAACTGTTGCAGGACAATTGGAAGGACTGAATTCTCTACAATGTCATTGTGTTGTAGCAGAGTCAAAAAATTAGAAGGAAAGAGTTGAAATAGTTTTGTCCACATGGTGTATTTGCCGAGTAGCTCACCTTGGTGTGTCCAAATTTGTATTGGGTGTGGTCAACATCAATAGAGCCCAAGAGTTTCTCTGAAGCCTTTTTGTTGTCAATGAACTGTCCCTCAGGGATGACGCTAGCGTTTAATACTTTGTATCTAGAGGACATTTAGGGGAGAGTAGTATTCTTGTGAAATATGTAAGGAAGTGAAGACTAGGTGATACATCATCTCTAAGTAAGAAGTTACAAAAAAATGTCTTTACCTCTGCTTAAAGTCACCGTAGTGGATTCTGCTGGGGAAACCCTTCCTGCAGATTCTGATACCCTCCAGCACACCATTACACCTGAGCTGGTGGATAACCAGGAAGTTCTCCATCAGACCTGAAATGCAAATGTTCTTAAGGTTCCAGATATTTTTTTCAAAACTGTGATGCATTTGAGTCTTCAAGGATCAAGATTACCTGGAGTCTTGGATTCATTAGGAATCAAGCAGCGCACAAAGTGAGGGTGAGTGCTCCTGAGGTTAGACATCAGCTTACCCAAGTTCTCCTGTGGAAATATTTGTAATTAATCTAATCTGTAATGGTGAAAAAATTCACAAACTTAAATAAGAGCGATAATCTGTTTACCCTAAAAAGTGCAGACACCGTCTGGAAGGAACCACCCTTCTTCTTGCCTCCTTTCTTTCCACCTCCCTCTGTTTTATATAAAAAAAATTTTGTTAATCTTGTGTTGCTTTCCATTAACCCCTTCAATAAATCTCTATTTACATCTTGTTGAATCTAACTGTTATCTTGCATACATATACTTCATATTTTGAAACTCCAAAATCTGTGATCACATAGTTTGTTGCGTTCTGATGATCTCAATATTTTTTAAGTTTTTGTATATGCAGGTGTCTTGTACATAATTAAAACACAAAGGAATTGAGGAAAT